CTGTGGGTGAGACGGCAGCGACACAGTGGCTGACTGATCTCAATCAGTGACGAGACAAAGTGCTGTTGCCCAAGTCCTTTCTAAAATGGAAGTACGATTGTCTAAATGTTTTTTGGAAACTCTTTTTACCTCCCCTGCTCCCCTCCTTTGCACTGCCTGTTCTCATGCTGGTGTTCTCCCTCTGTCCTTCAGGAGCCAAGAACCTGTACATCATCTCTGTAAAGGGCATCAAGGGGCGTCTGAACCGTCTGCCTGCTGCAGGAGTGGGTGACATGGTCATGGCCACAGTCAAGAAAGGCAAGCCAGAGCTCAGGAAGAAGGGTGAGTGTCAGACAGCAGGGTCACAGGAAATAATAGAGCTGATGCATGAGCTTAGTTTATGTAGTCTTATATAATGACCTCCCATTATGTTTGCGTGTCATGTGCTGCAGTGTTTTTGTTTGTGATGTGTGCAGAGTAACATTCAAAGTTTATCCAAAGTAGTACATGTATGTATTTCACCAGCAGGACATTTGCTTCTCTGTAGTGTTTTATGTGGCTGCAGCTAAAGTGTAGTCATCAGGGACAATTACAGCAGTGTCCGATTGTGTTATTAGAAAGATGTTCCCCCTTCCAAAAAGCACTTGCTTTGTCTGCTCAGTGGCTGGGTGAGTTGTCGTAGAAGGGAATATTGACCTCCTCACTGTGGGTGAGACAGCAGCGACACAGTGGCTGACTGATCTCAATCAGTGACGAGACAGCTTTAACCTGCTCAATCAAACCAAAGTCAAATTTTAATGCTCTGACTTTGTTCAGAGTGGAAACAACTAGTCTGTGTGCAGGTTACTGTAGTGTTAAGGTTGAGAGGTTCGGGCAATGTAACTGTCTTATGAAGCATTCAGGTGTATTGTGCCTAGGTGCTGGTGGAGGATGCTCTGATTTCAGGGAAATAAAAGTTTCTCCTGCTGCTCTCTGTTGCACTGACCATGTCTGTTTTAAACCCAAGTCAGAATATTATTAATCCAGGTGTGTGTGTGTGTGTGTTTTCTGTGGCTTTTTTGGAACTTGTGTTAACCACGTGCCATCTGTCCACAGTGCATCCTGCGGTGGTGATACGGCAGCGGAAGTCGTATCGGCGAAAAGATGGTGTGTTTCTCTACTTTGAAGACAACGCAGGAGTCATAGTAAACAACAAAGGAGAAATGAAAGGTGGGTTTGTTTGGATACAACAACAGGGTTGTTTGTGACATGGTCACTGTACAGTTATTTCTTGACAGTGCGGCCATTTACGCAGCATGTAACAGATCTGGTGGCTGAGCAGATGGATTAGTATACAATGACCTCCGCAGGATAAAGAGCTGCTTGGTCTTGAGCCATTTTAGATGTTTTCTGTAATTTATTCCTTTTTAGGAATTGTCAATGCAGCCCCTCATGTTTGACAGTGACATAGGTCGTGGTGGTAAAGTTTCTCATCGATGATTCTTTCTGCCTCAACAACAGAAGTCCTTGCTGAGACTCAAGCAGTACTGTTCTTGTTTGTAGCAGTGCTTAAAATGAATGATGTCCTGCGGTTGCTGGAACTTCTAGAATGACTTAATTTCTAATAAAAAAAACAACAAGCAAATTTAGAGACTTATTCAGACAATAGGCGAGAAAATATAATAAAGTTCATTCCATGCTTCAGTCCACGGCTCTTCTGCCAACAGTGCGCAGGCTGTCAGTAGGTGTGGTGTACATATGACCATTTCTCTGAGTCTGTCTTCCTGAGGATGTAAATATGCAAATGGTTAATTTGAATTTAAAATTGAAATGGTTTGAGCCTCCCTTTGTGTATTTGCTTTACTTTAAATATGATGTCCCTGCAGTGGGTGTGCACATATTACTGTACCCCAATCAGAAACAGGTTTGCATTTGCACTGCAGTTTGAGAAATAAACCAACTGAACCAGTTACTAAAAGAATGATCAGTGATTCAGATAGAAGTGCAGGGAACAACTAGCAGAACCTCCATGGTGGACCAGAGTGAGTCGATCAAATGATGCAAGTGAATCATTTGAACTTGGGACAATACGTTAATTCCAGTCTGGGACAGTCGGAAGTAGAATTAGGAATTGTTGCAGGACACTGGAGGGGAAAAAATAAAATTGAGAGCTGTTTGTTTTTTGTTTTTTTCTTTTGAGTCACATTTAAAGTTTATCCAAAGTGGTGTTGGCGGTTATTTAACTAGTGTTGTAAAATAATGAGTGTATAAGTGTTTTAGTGCCGATACACTTGATAGGTTTAGTTTATTTGTAAGGTAGATGTTCCCCCTTCCAAAAAGCACTTGCTTTGTCTGCTCAGTGGCTGGGTGAGTTGTCGTAGAAGGGAATATTGACCTCCTCACTGTGGGTGAGACGGCAGCGACACAGTGGCTGACTGATCTCAATCAGTGACGAGACAGCTTTAACCTGCTGTTTTACATGTGATTGTATTTGTGTCTACTAAAGATTTGTGTCTAGATTCCAAAAACCTCTGTCTGTAATGAAGTTAACGCTATTTGGTCAAGTCACTTGGCACAGTTGAAACTTTTTTTTTCTTCTCCTTTTTAAATTAATATTATGCTCTCGTTTGAACTGCAGCAGTCTGTTGTCCCTCAGTTAAAGGTTTCATGCAGTGTTGGAACTAAAAAATAACTGCTTTCCTCGTCTGTATCTGCAGGTTCCGCCATCACAGGCCCAGTGGCAAAAGAGTGCGCTGACCTTTGGCCCAGGATTGCCTCCAACGCTGGCAGCATAGCCTGAGCTATGACCCTGCACCTGTTTGTTTTCAATAAAAACTGTTGGTAAATCAAGCCTCACGTCTTGGTGTTTTCACTTTCACTTTATGTAGAGGAAACAATATTTTGAAGGGGGTTTAGTTAAAATGTTGAAATATGTTCTCTATTGCTATCTTGTACTCACTCCTGTATTGTATATCATTTTCACGAGCTTCTATCAGTCATAAAATCACATTCTCTACAGTAGGTCCAGTTTTCATATTTGACACACACCAAGCTCCAAATGCCCCATTTTAACAGCATTTGACATCCTGTAGATGCAGTCAGTGTATGTTTTGGTCATTGGATTTTCCTTTCAGAAAAAGGTATTGAAAAACAGAAAACCAGTGGTTATCTGATTTTCGTTTTAAAATACAAAAATTAAAATTGAAATACAAGGCGTTTTTCTTTTTCATGGTCAAAAAGGGATGAGCGAAATGAGAAATTATTCGATTTTCATTTTCTATTTCATATAAGAAAATAAAATCACTAGAAAACAGAAACGGAAAAAAGGCCTGTTTTTTCATATTCTGAGACCGGATGTTGTCATTTACAGGACGGTGCTGTGGAGAAGAAACAGTAGGTTAGTAGACTGCGATCAATCCAGTCGTGAGTCCGATCTCCGTGGTCAAATCAGCCACACTTAAATTTAGAGTGTACAAGTATTCTCAGCATTATGGTAAATGCGGAGAAACAGCGTATTTACTTCTGGTTTTCAAAATAAAGGTATTTAGAACAGTAAGCTATAATTCCAACCTACATTTAAAATAAAATGTTACCTTAAAGTGTTGTGCCCCTGAAGAATAAAAAACACTTTATATCAAGTATCTTTACTGCACCAGTGTGGAGAAATGCCAAAATAAAAGTCTCATATTTATGCCTCCAGAGATTGCATATTTGACCATATTTGAGGTACTGTAAAAACATATTGCTCAGTGTTTCCTGGCTACTGATGGTATATTTGACTTTTACACATATGAGACTACAAGCATACTTAATATCAAGCATTTTTACTGTAGAAATTTGGAGAAATTCAAAAATAAAAGTCCATATTTGTACCTCCATGTGGCATATTTTCATATATTTGAGCTACTGTAAAAACACTTTGCTCAATAATTCCTGGCTATGAGCGGTATATCTTACTTCTACACATCTAAGACTACAAGCATGCTTAATATCAAGCATTTTTACTGTAACAATGTGGAGAAATTAGACAATACAAGTCGTCCATATTTGTACCTCCAAGTGGCATATTTAACAGATTCACGGACCATGCACTTACTCAGATCTACCAGTAGAGGGTGTATTAAAACCTGATAAGATGAGACAGTGATGGCGTGTAAAAGCTTTATTTGACAAGTTTTAGCTTACAGGTAAACACATTAACCTTTCATTTTAACAGTTCTTACCCAGTAACAAGCTGCACAACTACATGGCACACATTTAAGAGTGTTAAGGAAAGCCTTGGGACTACAAGACAAACCACAGAGGAAAGGGTTATAAACCTGAGTACCATTAAATACAGTCCTGTGGAGCACTTGAACCTGATTTAAGCTGATTTACATACAGGAACCGAGGATAGGACAAAGTGCACAGAGATGATGTCTGAACAGAGGGAATGTAGTTCAAAGCATCTGTCATCTATACAACCTCTGGCAACCAGCACTTTCATGAGTATGCTGAACTTAGGTGGAAAAAAGCTGTGACTTCACTGGAGGAGCATGGGTAAAAAAAGCCACATTCTTCAATGTGTCAACAGTCACACAGACTACCAGTGTACATGGGGGGTGATAAATGCTCACTAGCGTGTACTCTTAACATTACATATATATATATATATATACTAATATCTGTAAGTCTTCTGTTTTTCTGCTTACAAGTAATTCTCAGCACTGTGTGTGTGTGTGTGTGTGTGTGTGTGTGTCTGGTCTACTTGGACATCTCCTGCCTCGCTCTGCTTACAGACGGAAACCAGCAGGTCCGTGGAGCGAAACCAGGCTGCCACTCAATGTACAGTATATATCAGCAATACATTCATCTCACAGCCTACAACTGCCGTTTTATGGGCTGACGGAGTGTCAGATAAGTAAGTATATAGATAAATTGTATGTTTGCCCATAAACTGAGGGGGAATTGCTTTTTCAGTGCTGACACCTGTCTGTGTGCAGCTCCCCTTCTTGACACCAAACCAGGGAATCTTCATTTTTGCCTAAAACATTCTTTTTAACTATCAATCATCAAAATTGCTATTAAATAATTTTCTGTTGATCAAACAATTGGTTAATTGACCGCTAGCTAAAGTCATCCCCCAAACACTGTCAATTGTCAACTGAGCAAATTTTAGCATTTAAAAAGTTTGGGTGGTGCTCCATGAAGGTTGTGTAAAAAATGAAGAAAAATCCCAATTTATGATGGCACATCCATTATGTTCATCTCTTCACCCTAAAAGCTTTTTCTCTTCTAACATTAAAGTGAATTTAAAGTGAATAATGTAATAAAGTACACTTTGTCAGATCTTACATTTTTCCTTTTCATAGTGATAATACTAGAATTAACTAGCTCAATACAATAAACCAATAATAATAAAATAGATAAATATTTGTTTATGTCTTCTACATGGATCATTAGCTGAAGAAGAAACTAACGTTTTGTCTTCAGTCTTGTCTTCGATGTTGATACGTTTCAAGGTTCAGACGAGGACAGCTGGAAACATGAAAAAGTGCTGAGACAGCGTTTCTACCAACTCATGCAGCTTCCGCTAATGCTAATCTGGATAGCCAGCTAGCTACAGATGATGCATTAGTTTCTGGTGGTCACCAGTAGAAACGTGAAGCGTGCTTTAGTCGGCCTCAGTTTGAAATCAAGGACAGGCTGTTTTCCCTTGCTTGACAGTAACAGTAACAGTGGTGGGAATAAGTGAACAACTGACTCATTGATGCATCTAATTCAGTTATGAAAATTTTAAATCTTCCATGTGAATTTTACGTTTTGGTTTCATTTCATCCAATTTCTAATTTTTCAACTGAATTAGCTGTCCCATCTGAAACAAACAGTAACGAGTATTAAAAATGAAACTAAACTTAAATCTGATCAAATGCAAAATATTCAAATGTGAGGAAAGAACCTATGTGTCATAAAGTCATGTTTGCAAATAACCTGTATGACTAGTTTTCTGAGCGTGTTGCCAGTTAACCCCCCAGTTCCATCTTTAGTTTCAACACCAACCACCCGCGGAGTACTTTACATTCTCAGAGGCAAAGCTGTGCTCAATCTCACTGGTTGTGTTAAACATAAATGTGCAGGTGGCGTGATGCTATATTGAGGCCCAGTTTAGCTCTCCTGATACTAATGGATAACGTTGGTTTATGTATAGCTGCAGAGGGACTCTGCATCTACGAGACATTTATTTAACACCACTCATGGTATCACATCCAGTCTGGGAATAAACGGACCGCCCCCTCTCGTCCTGCTCTCCTCGTCCCCGGGGGCCTCGGTGCGGGCGCTGGGTGTCAGGCTGGGTTGGGGCCGCTGCTCGCAGGTGGCATAGGGATGTGTGTGCCAGGTCCCGTCCCGGTAGGTGCAGTAGCATACTCTCTGCTCATCAATGTTCACACGCTCCCCCGCCGGGATCACCCTGTTCCCAGCAAAGCAGTTGGGACCTAAAGAGGCAGACAGAACAGGGGCAAGTTGCTCACACAAAATCAGAGTAGTAAAAACAGTATTGTTTTATTCTGCTGGCAAAGAAAAGCCTATATGAAGAAAACCAGCAGGTCTGGTTTCCTGATTCGTTTTGTCACTTAGTTTTTATTAAAGGAAGAGTTCCAAGAAACTAAGATGGTTTGCCAGTCTTTCAGATCATTGTCTTGGTTTTAGGTCCTGCAGCGTTTATGCTTTGGTTCTGTCTCACGGCTCTCAAAGCTCTGAAACCGACTGTACGCTACCCGTCCTCTCTAAATGGCAGAGAAGAGGCAAATATTTTTTCATGAGTTGGTAAAGACCAAAAACAGAGCTTAAAGGAGAGCGATTATTCATCAGGTGGCCAGAAACACCAATCCATTATACATCCAGAGAACAAAGAACCTGGCGAGTAAATGCGACCCTGTGCTCAACTGGGGCTCAGGTTTTACTGTCAATAGAAAACTGATATGACAAGTTTGTCATATTAAATTATTGGGAGACAATCTGTAAGTGTTTCTGCTGCCCCCAAGTGGCCAACAAATCCCTTAATTTATATAAGGCTCTGCAAGTTATGGGCAAACTCCTTCCTCAATAAGTAGAAGAAGTATTCCTTCAATTGTGGTTCAAGTTCATTATGAACAGTGTATATCAGTGAAGCCTGACAATACGACACAAGCAACACACAGGAAAAGATTTATGTAAGGTCAAATTAAACTGTCTCCTCCCCTTTAAAAAATCCTTGTGATGATATTTCTTTCCCCCTTCAACATGTGCTCGTGTGATATTTTCAGTAGAGCAGTTATACGTTGCTCAGGCTGGACATACAGAATACCATGCAAGCAAAAATGTAAACAGCCTTTGATACGGTTTGCGTCCCTAATTCACAGATGGGGGTTCCTTTATTTGGCAGCTACCTGTGAAACAATTACCAGCGCCTGTCAGCAGGAGGACAGGAAGTACAGTTCATCTGATGCCAGATCCAACTGGGTTCGATAAAACACAGCTGACATGAGGGAATCTGGCAGCAGCGGGATGAAAAAGGGAAAAAAAAAAACAGTGACGCAACAAACCAAACCATCTGTCCCTCTGTCTGTCCAGCAGAGGAGCGCTAAAAATAGAAACTACAACTTAACTACAACTGCCATAAAGCAGCGAGGTAAATGGGAGGCAGATAGCAGGTTGATGGGTTTTTTTTTTTTTTTAGGTGGTCATAATGAATCAGTTAAAGCACACATTTGATTGTTTAGCTGCTCTGGCTTTCCATTTTATTCTACATAAAAGCAACACATAATACAGGAGTAGTTATTATCCCTGCTGCTGCTATTCCTGTGACACACACACACACACACACACAAATCCCACCAGTGTTAGAAAGGACTTAAATGCCAGTGGTAGGGAAGGCATTTATGACATAACCCGGGATGGCTCTGTAAGCTGTAGGGTGTGTGAGGTGACGTAACCGGCGCTGCTTCTGAGAGCTGCAGGGTGGACACACACTGTTATAATGCCTGCCTTCTAATGATGTGTATGACACACGCAGGGGGCATGTGCTGAGTGTGTGTGTGTGTGTGTGTGTGTGTGTGTGAGGAGAGGGTTGGTGAGATCGGATATGACAGCATGGTATGGCCCTGCTAGCAGCACGTTGCCAGTTAAAAGGTTGCAAGTGGAAAACCCTTAAAATAGAATTACATTAGACTATAATTTAATTTTATATTCTGTTCTATGTTATAGAAATAAAGTTTATTATTATTATATGAACAGTTCACTGTGTATGGAAGGTACAATAGGACTGCAAATTGGAGTCCATAATTAATAAACAAAATAAAATGTTTTAACCATTTTGGTTAAGAAAATAAACCTCATTGTAATTATCAGGTTTCCCACGCAATCCTGGACAGTTAGAGGCTAGTTTGGACAGATTAAAATGACCAAATATCCTGGCGACAATCTATGTTATCCTAAAGAATGTAATTTTAGTCAATTACAATATAACATACATTTATTTACAGTTCAGTACATTCAAAAATAAAGAAGCTTCTCCAAATCACATGAATTCTAAAAGCTGAGATGGAAGCTACTATCTATCTCTCTGCTAAGCTAGTTAGCATTAGCATGAGTTTAGCTGGGGTTATTCTTCTCCATAATCTAGATTGAATTACTGCCTCATATGTGGACTAAACTGCATTCATTTCTGAATCTCATCTGGATGATTCAAATGTGCAAGAATGATTTCTATTGTCTGCCACAGAGCTTATTTTGTTCAATAATCCAAAATGGAAAGCTCCCATTGGCTTTTTGTCAAAGGAACCAGGGCGGTGCTAACTTCCGGGCCCCCTGCAGCACTCTATGAAGCAAGACCGCAATAACCACTCAGCCAGAGTGCAGGTAGGTTTTTAGCTTAGCTTTGTGGTGATTGCAATTCTAAACAGTTTTCAGAGAAATTATGCATTTTTATGGCATCATAATTTTTTACATGAGTTTTAGCCTGCAAAATCTGGGCTATAGTGGACTCTTCTGGTTCTTTCTTAATTTACTATAAACCCAAGAGATGTGTTATTTCAGGAATGTTGTGGACGTATGTCGTTAAAGTTCTGTCAGCACCACTGGTGAAGACCCTTTGTACCAAGGCTTTCTCTCACAAAGGCTCTGCTAAAAGATAAGGCGGGTGATGTTCTACTCTCTATTATAGATATTCTATTGTTTTTACTCTCAACAAATCCCACGACGAGACCCAAACCAATGTGACTTCCCTACTCTAACCGTGTCACTCAGCACCGAGCCCACTGGTTCCTATTGTAGATGTACATCTATAAAAACAGCTCGCAATAAAAACATTTTTTTATTGTTGTGTCATTTTTTAAAAATGGTTGGGCCCTTTTTTTTTAGAACCCGTCATTCAAACAGGAAGAAATAGTACATTTGTTGGGGACTATTTTTAGCTACGGATGAATCCACATTTGGTGCTCTAATGAGTATTTGGGGCAGCAGGACAGCGTGTGTGGGACTGAGTCAAGATAAACTACAGTGTGTGTGTTCATGGTAATGAAGGAAAAACAGTGTGGCTCATTGATGTGTTTTTAATAGTTTAATCAATATGCCCTTGTTAGTGTTAACGTGCTTTTATATTTTTATGGTATTCGATGATAAGACGTGGTGTGTGCAAAACTGACACCAAAAGGCTTGTTGAGTGTCCAAAATGGAGAGAGATCATCCTCTTGGGAACATTCTTAAGTTTAGTAACTTTTATTATAATATATTATATGTGCAGTGCAGATGGAAACCGTGGATTGAGAGTAAAGATCGGTTACCAAACACATTAATAATCCTCTGTGGAATATCCACAGCTAATTGTAGGGACGTCCTGAGATTAGATTCAGATTCAAGTGACAGCAGGTGGGTGGAAGCCCAGCACCCACTGAGCCTTACCAGTCTTACAGATGGGGCAGCAGTGGTTGGGTTCGTAGGTGGGGTTGACGCAGTGAGGGGCGGGGCAGTCCGAAATGCTGCAGTACACCTCTCTGTTGGCCTCGCAGCGACATCGCTCACACCTCGACAGCTGGAACACACAGACAGTTTGAATTTCATTGACTTCATGCATGTGGCCATTTGAACAGTCGGTCAATGAACAGTCAATGACAGCTGACCTGTTTCTGGTGTTATACTGGTTGGATGCACTTTGTCTGATACACCATCGGTTACATAAAACACACTCAATGCCTGCCCCCCCACTGCTCAATCCCCAATAAGCACATGGCTGCATGTCAGCTGTTTGTTGATGTGATGATGCAACAGCACAAACAAGACTGTCCCTCTTTCTATTAGCAAATATTAAGCTGCTAATACAACTGGCTTGTAACTCAAACCTTCACATTCGCTTTCGCAGGCATTGTTTCAGGTGAGGCATGTCCTCGAAGTAAGGGCGTACGTTTGTTAGCGCTCAAGCGACTACTTTGAATTTAGACATTCCCCGACGTTTGGTACGCGCTGAGATGTCCGACCATCTGGTATCACGTGACTGAAAAAAAGGTAACTGCTTCTGAAATGTAATACCTGTCAAAAGTGCTGTTATGACGTACGTAGAACTGTTAAAATTGCGCTAACTGCACAGTTTGGACATTTCTAGAAGGGTCATGATTGCACAAGCTATTACATTCCTTGTCTGTGTAGATGGAACACATCGCCATGTTTACGTCTGATGGTCTGCTGTTACCTTTCTAGCCCACAGTAGAATAAAGATTAGTTGTCAGGTATTGAATTTATATATATATATATATATATATATGGGGGTGCTTTTTGCCTTTATGAGATAGGGCAGCTCAAAATTGACAGGAAAGGGGGAGAAAGAGAGGGGGATGAGACGCAGCAATTTAAATGTTTTAAAGAAAAAATGTCAAAATTCTCTAATTTCAGCTTCTCAAATGTGAATATTTTCTGGTTTCTGTAGTGCTCTGTGACAGTTAACTGAATATGTTTGGGTTGTGGTCACTGGGAAACAGTCCCAATTTTCAAGCCTGGATCAACCAGACAAAGCCCTGGAACCCTACCTTTATCTCTACAGTAGCCCAGAACAGACAAATCAAACAATGGCTCTAGATACGGCCTGTCACGTTTTTACCTGAAGGCCACCGTACTTTCTCATACATGCTTGGAGGGGTAGGGGGAGGGGGAGGCGAGGGATATTCACTTGGTTGCAATCTGAAACCTCACCACTAGATGCCACTGAATCCCACACACTGGACCTTTAATAAATATTGAACTCAATCATATTAGTGTACAGACAAAATACAGGGCATGATATTTCATTAAATTATAATAAAGCAAAACAATAATTTGTAATTGATGATAATAATATTTGTGTAATATTATACGGTGAAACAGACGATTATCTCATACTGTTGCAATCCTACATTTGGTTGGCTACATTTCATAGACACATAGGATCATGTATTAGGGGTGTATTGGAAGGGTTACTTTCAAAATGTAATATGATACAATTACGAATAGGGTTGGGTACCGATATTGTTTTTTGACAAAGTGTGTGTGGTTTCGTTTTTTTAAGTACCGGTTCGAGAACCATTGAAGCACCGGAACCGTTTAAAAAATACCGAGTAGGCACCGGTATCGGATAAAACCCAACCCTAATTACGAATTACCTGTAAATAACCTGTACTGTAGTCAGTAACCTTATACAAATATCACAATATTGAAGTAACGTAACTTGAGTACTTCCTGTTACTTTTGGATTCCCCTAAACACCAAATATGAAAATAAAGACAAGAGTAACCAAATGAAAGTACTGATGTGAGTACTGATGTATTCTATAAGACAACAGAACAATGTGACCTCAGAAAGGGAAATGGAAAGCTTTGTGAAATGTGTCCTTCTGATGTATCTTAAAAGTGTAATCCTGCTAAATAACCCCAATTTTTATCAAATATAACTGTAATCTGATTACAATCTTTTTTCTGTAACTGTAATGGAATACAGTTACCTTTTTTTTTGGTATCCTGAACACTCAACTCAACTTATACAGCACCTTACAGCCCAAAGTGCTTCACACAGCAAACACATGAAAACAGGAAAGGAACAAGCATCAGTAAAATTGTGCAAGGCTAAAAATGAATACAATAAAATGTAAAACATAAAAAGAATAAATAAATAAATAAAAATAAATGTTGATGTGTAAAGAAAGACCAGGGAGACAGCTAACAGAGTGGGGAAGAGAAGCCGCGGGGTAAATCCAGCTAGGATAATATCCCATATGATCATATTGATCAGCTTATATCAGTATCAACTGATCACCAATCAGCTAGGATCGATAACAGCCTCTTATGTCATGCGAAATACAGACATAGATAGAGGCTCCAATATCCTTTATTCCAGATGTGCAGAAGTCCTATAACAACCACAGCTGGAGCTGTGTTGACTTGTGGATGGGACAGAGGGGGGGGGAGAGGAGGGGAGAGAGGGAGGGGGGAGGGTACGTAGAAGTTTCTCACCCTGAACTCCTCTAGGAGCCGGTACGTTTTGCCCCCGTAGACACAGACCCTGGCCATAGCCTCGCACACCGGACAGCACGCCTTATATTTGATCCGCGTGCACCGGGGGTGGATGCGGGGACACCTGGGCCGGACGCACACGGGGCCGTCCACGGTGCACGTGCACGGACACGCCGTGGGGCTCGGGTAGTAAACCTCTCCGATGCCGTAAACAAAACCGTGGTCGTCGATGCACCACTTCCCCCGATAGTCCCCGAACTCGTAGTCCAAGTCGGTTTTGGAGGAGTACTCCGCCGCCACCGCGAGCTCCGCGACGCGCCCCGGAGCGCGAGGCAGCAGCAGGACGAGCGCGAGGCAGAGGCAGCAGAGCGCGCGGTGCCGGTGGCTCATGGTGACCGGGACTGAACCATCTGTGTGTGTGTGTGTGTGTGTGTGTGTGCTCCGGTGTGCTTCTCCTCCCACCGTCAGAGCCGCCGATGACGCCGGTACATGCGCGTCAGTCCGGAGTGTCGCCGAAATCAATTACCCTCCATTTGAACCACACACACACACACACACACACACACACACACACACACACACACACACACACACACACGTACAGTTTAAACAGAAAATAACACACTCAGAACTTACACTGAAGTATGGAAGCCCGTTTCCGCCAATGTAAGTCATTAGAACGAGAATCAAAATACTGACCTATTATCTCCAAATAATAACAAACTTTATCTTTTTTTTGTCATTTCAAAATACTTCATTCTTCATTCTTCTCAGAAAGTAGAGATAGTTTCTCTTTCCCAGCCGTCACATTGGCACAAATGGGCTTCCGTACAGAAGATATTAGATACTGTGAAGAAGAGAAAAAAGTTTTACTGCATGAAATGAGTAAAACAAACACACCAACTATTCTGCTGTAGAGATTATTCTAGAACTATAATCATCGTTTTACAACTTGTTCATGAACAGCACTGCAGCAGTGCAATCTTTTTTCTTATCATTTATTTCCAAAACATACACAGTAGCAGTGTTAATGCTAGAAACAGAGTAAACATTATAATAACAGTAATTGAAAAACAAATAAATGATACAGAAAATAAATACATTAATAAAAAGAAATAAAAACATGCCAGGGGTCAGGGAGCAAAGAGAAACTCACCTGAATTAAAGATATGGAAGTGGGAGCACCGTCTCACAGTTTTGATAGCTTTCTTGTTCTTAGCAGAAGATATTGATTTGAAATATAACTCCAGTTCTTTCATAAAAACACAAAAGAGAGGTTTCACTTTGGCAAATTTACATTTGTGGCTGTAAAACTTTGCAAGAATTATAATGAGATGAATTAAATAAAATTCTTTTTCAACTGAAATGTCACTCTTTAAAAAAACAAAAAGCACATTCTGCAAGAGGAGCTTAAAGTCACAGAAAATATTATCTAAAATAAATCTACAAATATCTTGCCACAGTATATTTACATTTCCAAAACAGATGGAGAACAGTCTCAGTATGGGAGTCACAATAGGCACAATTTTGAATTTGATAAAGAAGGATCTAACCGGGTAACATCGATGAATCATTTTCAATGACACTTCTTTCAACTTATGAACCAAAAAGAATTTTTGAGGCAGGGACCAGATTTTTTCCCAACATAAGTTGTTTACACGACTATTCCAGTAAGATATTCCAGGTGGAACAGAAACAATATTACATTGGAAAAGAGCAGGGATCTTACAGTTATTCTTACAGCCAGATGGGTTGAAGCATACGTTACCAACTGGTGAGTCAGTTACATCAGTAAAAGGAACATGAAGCACAGAAACAGACATATTACTCTTGAATAACATGAGTACACCAGATGGAATAGCATCGAAGACTATAGCATACTGTTAAGGAGTTATAGGTGTCCTATAGTGTTGAAGAAACTCCTGATAAGAAAATAAAACACCATTGCTGTTGAATAGTTGTCTTACCCAAATAATATCATTGTTAAACCATTCCCCAAAGAATATGGATCTGTTCTTGTAGAGTATGTCTTTATTATTCCATTATGAAAAATTGTGTTTGTATACCATCGAACATGCAAGCAATACTTGCTTATGAAAATTGGAAAGGCGAACAGAAATCTTTTCTATGTTAGAGTGACACACTAAAAGGAATTTTAAACCACCAATTTTAGAAAAAAACATAATTGGAGATACAAGTCCATATTGAGTCTGTTTTTTTCAGGAATTGTTTGATCCAGTTAATCTTGAAGGTGTTGTTCAAAGAATCAAAATCCAAAACATTTTGCCCCCCATTCTCATATGTGTTTATGACAACAGATTATTTTAATGCATTTTATTTTTCCATAAAAATGTAAACATCATCTGATCTATGCATTTGATGGTTTTATTGTCAATATGTAATGAGAGGGCAGCGTAAGTAAGTCTAGATATTCCTCCTGCTTTTGTTATTAACGTTCTACCTCTTAAAGATAGATCTCTTAGGAGCCAAAGATTTAATCTTTTTTTAGCTTCCTCTATAAATGGGGTCAAATTTAAAGCATTTCTAGCTTTCTGATCTTTAGTGATGGAGATTCCTAAATATGTTACTGTATCTTTGACAGGGATGTTTGATATTGAGCGAGTAGCCGAGTCTTTCACTGTCATTAACTCACATTTGTTTACATTTAGGTATAGTCCAGAGGCTTTAGAGAACACATCGATTATGTTTAGAGCACGAGGTATCTGAGAAGAGTCTTAAATAGTAAATAAAAATAGTTGTATCATCTGCAAGCTGACTGATAACGATTTCTCTTTCTGCAACTGTGATGCCTTTCAGAGCGCTTGATTTAATATGAATAGCTAAGAGCTGGGTGACAAGGAGGAAGAGGTAGGGAGAGAAAGTACACCCTTGCCGGATTCCTCGTTTAATGTCAAAACGTGGGGTCGTGCCAGAACTCAATAGGTGACTGGTGTGAATAGCAGGGGTGTTAGGAATGAAATGGGATGCATTGCCAGTGCTGTGTTTGGGGGGCCCCCTAGTGGCCAGAGGGCTCAAACAGAGGCTATAGTCCAATGGTACCCTGACCTCTGATAGTTTGGGGCACATAAAAGAAATGATTGAGGCGACTCCACTTTTTCATGTTGAAGTAGGAAGAAGCAGTGTTCTCCAGAGGTCTGCTGTATTTATGTCATAGTGTTCAATAGTATCAGATCAGAAGCTTTTACAGTCACAGTAAAATGCATCAGTATCCACACTCACAGGAACTGCTAGAGAAAGGGTTCTCTGATTAATTTAACATTTGATCAACGTCTATCCATTTCAGGCTTAAAATAACAACCCGTTAAACACAGATCATTTAATTGGTTGAACACTTCCATATAATTTGTATTCACATATCAATAAGCACTGTAGATTTGTGCTCTAATTTAAATTCATACTGTAGTTCCTTCAGTTTATTGTAGTTTCCTTAAACTGAAACAGCCAAATAAAGAGAACATATTTTAAAAAGAGGTCAAAAGACTGAGAAATCATCTTTATTTGGATAGATAAGTTCAGACAGTACAAAAGAAAGATGCAAAAAACAGAATTATTAAGATTACTAAAAACAGTCCAATTCAAGTAAGAAAACAGTCCTTTAAATGCACAAGTGACTGAGGTTACATTTGAGAGTAGCGTGTGCATTTCTCTGCTCAAGTTAAATGCTTGTGGTTTCGACAGGAATAAAAGGAGCCTAAAGGAGCAACGCAAGTCTTTAAAAAACAAAAAACAGCCTCCACTTGGAGAGAAGCTCTTACAGGATAAATGCTAACTGATTATGTGTGACTTCTTTCTACATAGGTGTGAAGACAGGGGAACAAACGTCCATGTCAACTTTTTATACTCGACACAAGTCTTTTTTTTTTTTTGTATCCACAGATTTTAAGAAAAGCACCTTTGAGACATGCCCACTTCCTTTTTTTTGTTGTTTCTTGCGCACATTGTGTGTTTCGTCTTAAATGTTTATGTTTCAAACAGCTTCCTGCAGCCTCAACTCTCTGACCAAGACTTAACTGTTCAAACGCTTGCAGGATTATGGTTAGTATTTAGTACAGCATGCAGAAGGTGGGTGCACAGTTAAAATGTGTCTTCATCCATACTACCACGAGATGTGTCCTCCCCCAGTCAAACTGAAACCTGCTCCAGAGCACAGGTTTCATACGAAGGCTGAATTTGATTATATTAATCTAAAAGTTTTCACTATAGCTCTAAAAACACAAAGTAGAAGTAACAGTAGTAGTTTTGCAAATACACAAACTGATTAACTACAAAAAGTCTGAGGTTTTATGGGGGGGGGTCCTTTGCAGCTGTGACCTTGAGAAAAATATAAGGGCTGATTTAAAGGTTTATACATCAAGACTGAGAAATATACAAGTTAACTCAAAACAGTTCAGCCACATCCAACAGTACAAAGTCTACACAGTGGGAGTTATTTGAGGTTTGCATTTGAACTATGTATGTAGATGGAAACGGCCCTCAGCGTGACCTCTCCCTGCCAGCGGCTCCTGAAATCACTGAAATCCTACTGCTTCAGACAGTAGCAGTGCTGCGGCTGCTTACACAGTAGCACGGCGATGTGGAATTAGAGCTTTGACGATGGGTTGATTTCACAACGAGTTGATCGTCAGAAAAATAATCAAATTCAAATTCATCATTTTTTTGAGCAAAAATAGTGAAAAGGAAAAAAGCGCTCTTAAGTTCCAGCCTCTTCGATGTGAGACTGCTGCTGCTCTCTGTCATATACAAGTGTAAACTGAAGATCTTTGGGTTTTGGACATTTTAAGAGGTCACCTTGAGCTCTGGGAAATTGCCATTCACAAATCACACGTTTTTGACATTTTATACATAAATGATAAACTGATATGACTGAAAATGTGTGTGAGGATTAGCGGATGGATTTTGGACAATAAATAGTAGCAGACAGCAGTAACAGTGATGGGAGGTGTTGAGTTAGATCCCTGTATGTGACATCCAATCAGCCAGCAGCATTACTGCTGACTGTTGGCCCATTTTATAATAAAGTTTCTAAAAACGGCAAGGACTGGCTTGTACAATGGCTGGAGCACAAACTCAATCGGTCAAATGTTGTACTCTTTGGTGACATTTCAATTTATTGGCAAAACCAGGCATGCTGGGTAAATTTTAAAAAACAGGAAACGTATGCAGATTTGAGTCCTAATCCTTGTTTGGTCCAGCTACGTGAGGCTGGGTGATGAAATATGTATTTATTGACCATACCATCAGACCCTCAACCACTCAGCACGTCTCATATCACAGAGACACTTGTTCCACGCCCACTGCTGCTGCAGCCAGGGGGGGGGGAGGGGCAGGGGGAACCTCTACAGCTACAACCACTGTTACATATCATACTGCTGACTGCTCTGGCTGGGGGGTAGTAGTGGCGGCGGGGGAGGGGTTGGTTCTTCTGAGGCAGGGGGAGGCGGAGGCGGAGGCGCTGCGGCCGCATTAGGGTTAGCTGCACTGGAGTTGGCTTCCTGGGTGGCTGGGGGGTCGGGGACTGCTGGGGCCGCAACTCCAGTGGCGCCGTCTGAGGGAGGAGGGGCCATGCTGTTGCTGTTGCTGTTGCTGCTATTGCTGCCGTCGTCACTGGGGGCACTGCTGTTAGGAGTGCTGCTCTCCCTGGGGGGCTCAGGAGGAGGGGTTGCTTTATCAGAGGCAGAAGAGGGGGGGTCAGACGGAGGAGGGGGAGCAGGTTGGGGGTCTGACGAAGGCTCTGCAGGCGTCGCTTCGTCTGGGGAGGGAATGAAGGACAATGAATGTCGGAACATGTTTCAATAATAATAATATTTGATATTTTCTTATTGTCAACAATTCCCATGAGAAGTAGAAATATGTTAGTCCATCTCTAAACAGTGTCCCTAGTGTGCATGTGGCTCCAAACACATTGGTTCCTACTGTTCATTTCATGTGTTATCAGACTATTTCAATGTTTAATTCAAGATTTCATCCTAGACTAAAAATGTATAGATTTTATTAAACAAACATTAAGCGTAGGTACCTGTCTCCATTGGTGTGGGTTTGTCCTCCTCCTTGGTCCCTGAGGTGGGGTTAGCTGTGCTGCTAGCATTAGCACTGCTTTGCTCTGCAGCTTTGTTCCCAGCAGCCTCCTGTTGCTGCTGCTGTTGTTGTTGTTGCTGCTGCTGCTGCTGCTGCTGTTGTTGTTGTTGTTGTTGCTGTTGTTGTTGTTGTTGTTGAGCCTGCTGAGCAGCTTTCTCTGCCTGCTCGGCCGCCTCGCGCTCTCTCTCCTCTGCCCGGCGCCTGGCTGCCTCTTCGGCAGCAGCCATCTCTGCTGCTAGCTTCTCCATGTCCACCTCAACCTTCTGACTGCACAGCTGGAGACACAGGGAACAATTGTGAAAGGATGTCTTCAACAAAACTGTTTTCTATTTACATAATTAACTTTAAAGCCCCCTCCAGTCAGAATCAGTGTTTCTTCCTGTCCCTACAGTGTGCTGTTTGAATGCTGTCTGTGCAGAGTTTGACATTAGAAGGATGTTTTCACATTCATCTGCTGAAGGTGGAAAGTTTCTCTGAGCTCCCTGAAAATCAGATTTTAAGGGGCGGGGCCTACCAGCATGATTTGTGACATCATAAATAGTTAGGAAGTCAGTCCTGGTCCAGTGTGCAACTTGTACAGTGTGATGTAGAAACTTAAAAGCAACCAGTGTACATCCACTGAGAATGGACTTTACAGTGAAGTAGGAGACATCTTGTCCAGCAGGAAAACTATTCATAGATTCTGGAATTTTTAATAAGGCAGAAGGGGTAGATGTCCTTTTAATGTGGAAGTTATACATTTTTTGTTGCAAACAGATGATTTACGTTATTTTTCCAAGCAGATTATTTGTATTATGTCTTGGTGGATTTCTGGAAGCAAAGCCAAGGTGGCAAGAGGAGAACATGGGTTCAAGAATTAGTGCAAATAAAGTGAGTTGAAAACATTCAGTATCAATGTACACACTATATGAGTAGTAATCCTCTCCGTTTAGGTCTCTGGCTAAATAAGTACCACCATACCCGCTTGAGTTCAGTGTTGAATGAGTCAGTGGTCTCCAGGAAGCGCCTTTTCTTGTCCTGGTGGCGATCCTCAATCTGCAGAAGTTCTGCCTCCAGCTTCCTCTGAAACACACAAGCGTTACAGGTGAAACACACTGACTTGTCTCAAAGGTGGACAACATTCTCCAATAGCATAAACATGGCTACCAAGCTGCTGGTGATGATGATGCCCATTCAACCTACCTGGTGCACCATAAGAGACTGGACCTGCCTCTTGAGGACCTGCATGCGGGCTGTGGTGACCACGGAGCGGACGTCAGGCACCACGATCTCACTGAGGATGTCGCTGATGAGCCGGTGGTTCCTCTGGAAGCGGGCGGCCGCTGTGTGCTTCACTGAAAAACCGTCGTCGTAGTCTGGACAGAGGTAATGCACCATACACCATGAGGGAGGCAGGGGGGCAGGGTGACTGCTTACATTTACATATGCCTTCAACATTTCCATCCTCAAATTACCTTCAAAACATTTTATGTTTAAGTACAAAAAGTAGGTGCCAAACCTTGTCACTATAAATGCTTTCCTTTCTATTCCTGTTTTTAAGCCATTCATTTTCTCCGTATCTAAAACGTACCATCAGGGTCCTCAGCAGGCTGAATGCTCATGTACGGCTCCCCTTTGTCCATACGACTCTGCCTCTGTCTGCTCTCCTCCTCCATTGCAGCCTCAGCCCGGTTCTTAGCGTTGACGTAGGCCAGGTAAGCTGGCGAGTTGTGGTACGCCTTTAAAGAGTCGTTATACTCGATCTGAGAGGGAGGGAAGAAAAAGTAGATAGGAAAATAAGACGAGTTGTCTGGTCCTACTGTCTGAAGATGACTTGTGAAACATTTCATGTGTTATCAACTTTGGGGATTTCTTGGGGGTTTTGAGCCCACTCTGGTTCACTTGAAAATAAGTGCTTGTTGTTATTCACAATAATATAAGATGAACAAATGATACGCGTTGATGGGCAAAATAAGAACAAACAGGATCGCTGTGTCCTGGATTAGTTAAGCTACGTTTGAAGAACAGGAATTCTGATTAATGGATGTCAGCCAATTAAATCCCAACAGTTTTCTGGCTCAGGCTTTTAAATGTCTGTATTGCTCTGATATTGACGGACTGAAACTGTATTTAAAAAGGACATCTCTTCGTATTTGTTTGCAAGCGACAGACATTTGTAAAATAAAAAATTGTAATCCACAGTAGCTGTAGATTTTTCTTTTCCACCAACACAATTTGACTTCAAAGATTTATATAGACAACAGAACTGTGTAGACCTGAGGCTCAGCAGTGATCAGGACACTTCACAGCTCACCTTCTCAGCCTCATACTCGTTCAGGTAGTCCTGTTTCTCCTCATCAGTCAGGTCCCTCCACATCCCTCCGATAATCTTTCCAATCTCCCACAGCTTCAGGTCCGGGTTGGATGCCTTCACTTGGTCCCATACCTTGCGCGCGCACACACACACACGCACACACACACGGTCACTACAGGGCAATTACAGTTAATGGCAAGTTAGGTTACTACAAGACAGTGCAGGAAATAAAGGAGGAAAAGTGCAAAGAAATGAAAAAACTAGTTCCAAAATGACAAATCTCCTTAGAATTGCAAACTGGCACTATGGTAAAGCACGTTTGTAGTGGCCCTGAAACGTCAACAGACTGCAACTTACTCCAGTCAGAAATCAGTGTCCCTTCCTGTTCCAACAGTGTGTTTTGTGAATGCTGTATGTGCAGAGTTTGACACTGGAAGGATGATTTCACATTCATCTGCTTAAACATCAGATTTTCTGAGCAGAATCTCAGTTTGGAAGTCAGTCCTGGTCCAGTATGCAACTTGTACAGTGTGATGTAGAAACTTGAAGCCACCAGTGTCCATCCACTGAGAATGGACTTTACAGTGAAGTAGGAGACATCAACTTTAAAAATGACCACAATGTGCATATTAAGATATTCTGGAATTTACAAAGTGACTCAATGCTTTTTTATGGTGCCTTTATTGTAAAAACATATCAGACACACATTAATTGTATAGTTTGTATAGTATCTTAATGTCTTGAGGGATGTGACAACACATGCGCTGCATTTAGACAGAATGTTGCCATGGTAGAAAACAACCAAATACAGTTTTTCCAGGGGACACTTCAGTGACTTCATGAGTCACCAACCGTGACAACATGTACGTTTAACCTTTTCGTGTCACTTGTCATCTGTGCTCTTTGCAAATTTTCGGGATTTGCTTGTTTTTTTTCTATTTGCATGTGTTTTCTTAAGTTGCAGTGCCTCGAACTCTCAGGGCCACCGTAAACATTGTCTCAAAAAATGGAATGGGATGAAATCTTTCTAAAGACAGAATCACCAGTTTTAATGCAATGTGAATCTTAGTAGATTCTGTCTTTCTGCTGTATTCAATGTCAAACATTCAGCTCTAAAAGTAGAGAAGCAGCAAAGCAATAAGCACAAAAGGGGGGGGAAATGAAGGCAGGAGCAGATCATGCTTGCAGAAGGAAACACAAAGAGATGTTTTAATTTCTCTTTATGGTTGACAAACAGGAGGCTACTGTGAGCCAACGGGATAACAGAGTGGAGAGTCTCCACTAGGTGGTTGAGGTGGTGGTGAAGGCGTCATGGCTTGGCTGTTTCCCACCCTAAAACCCCTGCAACTTTTCAGGGGAATGGGAGGACAAGCAGTAAAAGCAGACACCGTGGATGGGTGTCTTACCTTCCTGCTTACCTTCCGGCTGTACCGCATGTAAGGCATCAGTGGCTTGTCTGGAGGTTTAGGCGGCTTTGGGACGGTGATGCCTGAGGAGTTCTGTGGAAGGAAGACAGTCAGAGAGCGAGATAAGAGGGGCAAAGAGGGGGAGAAAAGTGTGAATGAGGAAATGGAGGGGGTGTAGATGAAGGGGAAACAAAAAAAAGGACAGAGGTTGAGAGAGAGAAGAGCAAAAAATAAATTACAGTCATAAAACCCCCGCTGATTATGGTCCAATAGTGGTGAGGCTTGAGTCAAGGCAAAATAAGAAGTGTACATGTAAACATGACAATACATAACTCTTAGGTGGTCCTTAATGCTTCCTTACAGCTGGACAAATGCATTTACTATGCATGTCAACTCATTTACATGCATGTATGGATGTAAATGTTTAGCAGCCAACGATAGAACGACCAGGAACTAAATCAGCAGTGCATTTTTTTTTTAAGCACATTCTTGTTTGCATTTCCACCACATCTGAAGAACCGTGAAGACTACGAGAATTACACCCATTAGACTGCTAAACGTACGCCAACTGAGAGGTGTAATGTGGTGCCCCATACAAATAAGAGAAAGATGTAATCTCCATGTCTTTAAATGCATCTTAATTAGATTTGATATTTTAAAAATTCCATAAATAAGTGAAAAATGTGTGGTTTTTGATGCCCAGAACTCATAGACAGCACCTGGAAAATCACTTGTTTAAGACCAAAAGAGGTCAGAAGGTCAAATTTACCTACCTCAAACTCTATATTTCAGACAGAGAGACAGTCTAATAAAAGGTGGGATTGTTTAGTCCATATGTGTTCTAACTGTGTACAGCATTAGCTTTACAGGGTAGTGCCATTTATAGAAATGTGAAAAATTCCCCATGTAACAGTCTGTCAGGGACTATATGTTAGCATACACGTTAGGTTGATGTACATTTTAAAGTAAATAAAATAATTTGACCACTTAGTGACAAATCAATTGGCTGTTCAGAAACATCTTAAAAACAGAACAGTAGATGCAGTGGCCTTTGCAAGGTGACAAGAAGCGGCGGCTGCAGACCCACCATTGCCCTGTTCCCCAGGGGTGACGTGCATCTACTGGCCAAAAAATGAGCAATCTTACAAGACTTGTTTCACTTATGGGGTAAGACTGTGCAATGCTAAGAGAGCTTGGTTTGGCATGGACACTAGGTTTTATCCTGATAAACTGTTGTTTGACCATGGCAGCTGTTGAGACATCTTGCTTCGGGGTGTACAGGGTATCAGTTATTGTCTCAAAGATTCACACAAGAGTGTCATTTTGCCTATTGTACCTCAAAAGCAGAACGCACACAAACAGACGGAGAATTCATGCACTTCATTAACTGAAAAATAAAAAAACTTTGTAGCCTGATGTGATTGTCCTGTGTTCTCAAAGCTTTTCAAGGGAACATACAGATTGGTAAATCATTAATCACAACAATTGATTGCAGTTCCCCCATTTTTCAGTTCAAGGATTCTGTGTAACTGAATATAAAATAGTGTAGGGTTGGTGCCTGCATTGAAAAGTGTACGTGAGTCACAATTATTGTCATAGTTTAAAACTGATGCTAAAAACATCCCTTTATACTTTCCAAAATTATTCACTCTAAGCCATGTTCTTTTTTGGTACAATAACAAAACTAATTCGTTAATAAGCTAAATTTAAACTAATAACTAAACCTCAATACTTAGCAACCTACTAATATGTTATACGTTAACTACTACATACCACAGAATTGTTGTGTCACATTTAGTCGTAAGGATCAACAAAAGCCAAACAGAGCTGTCTGCATCCTGCACTGAGCCCAACTGTGGCAGATTTCAGTATATGGCCGGGGAAATGATGGTGAAACTGTTTGAGCTGTAAATGAGCCGCTTGTATAAAACAGAATGCCCCCCCAACCTGATTTCCTTACTTTAATGTTTCTGCTGCCCCCACTGTCAACCCATTTCTTCTATCGTGTTTCACTGATCTGAACTGAACTGTATTTACATCTTATTTTCCCCTTGTTCAACCCCCACCACCTCTTTTCACCAGCTTCTGTGTGCATTAGCTTCATCTTCTAACCCTTTTTATGCTCCTCTCACACTTTCTCAGTAGCTGTGCACCTATATGTAGCTCAAGACAGCTTCTTACTACCCCTCCCACTTAACCTGCACCCATCTGTTTTTTTTCTCCAAATCCCTCCATCAATTCATTACCCTGCTGGAGCCTCCGGAGCTCCCTCCCAGCCGGAGGTTGTTGTAGGCCAGATGGCTGTAAGGGTTGTAGCCCACAAACCCTGGGGTGGAAGGCATTTGCTGATGGAAGACAAATGAGACAAAACACGAATGAGAAATGGCTCACAAACAAGAGGAGGAAGAGGGATAAACATAAATAAGTGAAAAGGGGGGAAAACGTGAAAATATATGTATATTGTTTTGCTTGTTTGTTCTCAATGAGCGTCACCATGCAAGGCGAAAAATAAAAAGGCAACTGGCCAGCGTTCAGATTGAGTGCATGTGTAAATGTTGCATGTAGCTTGCAACAAGCGCATATCATCCCCCTCCCCCCCATCTGGCAAAAGTTGCATTTGATTACCAATGTGACTTTACACAATGCTGTGCCCTGCCACTGCGTGTAAGGATATAAAAAGCATCAAAACAACATCTGTACACACACTGTCTGTGACCTTAAACTCTGAAATTTAGCGCTGAAAAGACCTTTTAAAGAAACGTGTTCCCCCGTAGGAATAACGCTCTGTAAAAAATACACGAAGAACAGTGAGCCCTTCTGCATCAGACCTTCAATAAGTGGTGATATGACAGGAAAAAGCAGGAGTGAAAGCGATGATGGAGAGCTGAACAAATCTGTAGCAACCTCGGTGTGTTCAGACGGAGAAAGAAATTAAATGAAAGTAATATAAAATGTGGAGGGAGAGGGAGTAAGACAGCAAGAGATAAAGATAAAAAGGACCCCAAAAGAGTGCACAGAGCTAACATGACTTTGAACAGTAAACGCTGAGACTGGCACTGAGGGTTGGACACTTACTGTTGTCGGGGCAGGGGGAGGGGGAGGGGCGTAGGATGGTCGTTCTGTGCGATGAAGAAAGAGAAATGTTAGACAGTCATCACAACGTCCTACTGGTTTATTTATTTTAAGGCTATGGTTTACGTACACATTTATGCTTAAATTATTTTTTTCATTCATAATACTGCCATGAGTTGTACCTGGTTTAGTTTTGGCAGAATACAGGAAAACAGACCCTGACCAATATGGAATTCTTTTAGACAATACCTATTTTATAGGGGGAATTCACCGATAACCTGGCGGCCAATACAGTAACACCAGTATGACTATGCAAAGGTTCTCAGGTGGCTGCTTTCTTGAAGAAATAACTTTATAAAAGAAAATTTAAACCAAACACGTTCATTAAGTGAACATATACATAGTCAAACAATTCTAATTAACATTGCTGCTTCTCTTTGTTTATTACAAGCTCTTCTTATAACAATTCTGTAGATACTAAAATAAAAATCTGTTTTCTTCATCACGCCTGAAAAACAATGTTGTGCAAAGACTGCACAGTTATGTAAATGGACTGATACACTCTAATACACCAAGAAAGACTGAATACTTAATGAATTAAATAAAAATATGCAAACTTTGTAAGCTTCGTAAATGTGAGGATGTACTACTTTCCTTTCCTGTTATTTCTGATAGTAAATGAAGAATCTTTGTGTTTTGGACTATCAATAGAAGCAGTATGAGGGCTCTGGGGAATTGTGATGAACTATTTGTTTTGTCATTTTATAAACTGAACGATTAATTGCGAACATAATTCACAAAATAGATAAATTGATAATGAATATAATGAGTTAGTTGCAACCTTAATCTTAGCTAAGGCCCATGTTAAAGAAAGCAAAGTGTTCTTCACTATTGTTTTCTTACAAATGATCATTTGGACACCAATGAAGTGAGCTGTCGTTACCATTACTAACGTGTATGTTTACTTACTCGACATCGTGGCTGGAGATTGGGCTACTGAGAGCAACCTATTTCCATATTGGTTAACCTGGGTAAGAAAACAAGAGAAAAAATAAATAACCCACACAAATTAACAAATAACTACAACCACTCTGCTACTGCAGTTGGTCGTCTGATAGGCAAAGCATCAAAGAGACGTCGGTAAATGATATATAATATACCTGAGTAAAGCCGATAACTAATAATGACAACAATGGCTGACGGGGCTAAAGCTAGCTTACCCGGCCTGGCCTTCTAGCAAACCTGCTAACACAAAGAGATCATATGTCCCATAATAATAATAATGATGACAGCGAAGTCTAATTCAATTCACTTCGAAACAATTAAGTTATAAAAACCAGCAAACACACAATACACTCGCATTGGCAGTCCGGTTGACGCCTCTGAAGAGTGCAGCGCGTTCAAGATATTAGAAGAAACCTTGCTACTGCAGCTAGGCTAACGGACGACACAAGCTCCCGCCGCTGCTACGCACATGGAGGTAAATAGTCACTTTAACTAGCCGAGTTAGCTAATGCTACAACGAGTACATTCGAGTACATTTTAAATGTACGTTACAAAATGGTAAAATTGTAACATTTTCAAGTAACTGTGTTGGAAACAACGTAAACATACTCACTCAGTCGTCCTTTGTTCCCTCCGTACGGCCGCTTCAAGCGGCGCCTGTTCCGCCTTTCACACTCAGACCGGAAGTGCTTTTTTTTTCCTGGCCGCCGGAAAGGATGTTTTCAGAATAAAAGCTTAGTTACTTAAAATGCTTAGGCTGCCTCAACAAAATAACAGCAGGATCTTAAGCAGGATAACAGCAGATGGCTAGCAGTGACGGCTGGTGGTGATTTTGGGTGGGTGGGCTAACAAATGCATCACATTCATCAATACGTCACACAGCAGCAACACATCAAGTTACAGCAACAACATTGTATAACGTTACATTGTTATAGCAAGGGCTCTACGGCAACACTGGGGAGACAAACCCAAAGGATCACCTGATGCCCCAAAAAATCTCTCTGTAACTGTTCTCTCTCTCTCTCTCTCTTTCCTCTGTACACATTAGCACATGCCAATTGCGCTACAACATTATAGAAAAGTACCAGCAACAATTTGAAACACCATGTACCAAAAATAAATCTATCTACAAAACCAAAGCAAAAATAGCAGTAATTGTAGAAGAGAGAGTTGTTTCCGAGCTTGGGCATACCTTGTTTGAAAAGCAGCTCACGCAAACTCCACACTGCTGTACCTCACCATCAGCTCACCTTTCAGTTTCTCCCTGCAGATCACTGGGTAATGTTCACATGCAATGTCCAGCTGCTTCTGCGGGAAAGTGTTCTTAAACAGCGGAAAGAGTTCAGGGATTGATTTTCTTTTCATAGTTTCATCATATATTCTACTTAAAGTTCAACACCTTCCTGAAAAATCCTATTCTTAATCTGACACAAAGTTACTGGTATGTAGAGATCCTGTTATTAAAATGGAAATTTTTTAGACCAAATATCGTGCTTGGTTGATCACTTTTAGAGGACACACAGATAACAAAGCAGAGTCACGCTTTGATTACCTTGGCTCTTTCAGGAAGTTGTGTATACAAAGATCTCTGCTAATTTGAATGATTTGCAAAATCTAAATTTGCAAACTTATCCCTTTTCCACGACTGGAACACAGAATGAATAGAATCTGATTTTACTTTGGAATTTTTTATTTTTTTTTGATGAGCAGACATAAGTCAGAAACATTTTGTATGTGCTATACAGCACATTTTAACAACTCTAATAGAGTGTTAGTATCTTATTTTGCACTTTGGGCATCCAGATGTGCAACATATTCCAAAGAGAATAAATAAGTAAGTTAGTTGTACATCACATTCTGGGGATTAATAGCCCATATAGTATAAGTAGGCAACAGTTTCTAACAATTTCTATTTTCAGGTGATTATACACTAATGAAAATGTACCTATGAATATTATATTCCATTTTTGCCAATAGATCCTCTTAAATGTTACACACTGGACCTTTAAAGCTCTTAGAATACACAGTTAGACAATAATAGAATCAGAAAAACAATAAAAAATCATGAATTATGTAAAAATACACAGTACACTGTAGGTTAACTGACCCCGACCCATACATATTACCTAGACACAGAGACATAGGGTTAATGAAACAGCATAATGAGAAAGCAAGGCCTGATCATCACCTAGACAACCATTCCCACAGGGCCTGAGACTCTCAGCGGTCAAAAACAGTTTATATTAACCTTGACATAATTTCCACAGTGTATCACAGCATCATCTCTTTTGTTACTCTAGTTTATCTGTTTAAAAATAGGACCAATGGTTCAAAATGATTCAGTGGTTTTTCCACTGAATTTCATGAATTAATGATTAAAACCTGGATCCAAATCTGCTCCTTTAAGTCACTTTGTCAGACTAATGGACAGTCTTCCAGGACAAGTTAATTTTTCTCTCGCTGCTCTCTTTGAAAATTGGACAGTTAGTCTTTTCTATAAGATTTTCTATGGAAAAAAGGAACTGTGCAATATACAGCACTTTTAAAATCAGATTTAAGATATAGTTAAACTTGTCTGTGGTGTTCATACTAATGATTGTTTTATTGTATTGTTAGTTTTAAATGTTCCATTCCTTATTTTCATTGTAACTTTATCATGTATGTATGTAATGCTTTTTAGCTAGCACCGGCACATTTACACTAGTGTTAGGAATGTAAAGATATATCCCATTACAATGTGAAGGTTCAAACTGTTGAGCTGAAAAAATAGATGAGAAAATCTTTTGAGAAATAACGGAATCTTTTTCCTTTACAATTTGCCTTCAATCTCATTTTGTCAAATAAATAGTGAGAAAATCCCATTGTGAGCCCAGGATCATGAACTGTATCGTATTGTGAGTTGAGTATATTGTTAAATCCCTGATTGGGATCAGTTGCTATCAATCTTCCTTGACTGAAGGCAACCGCAACTGTAGGACAACTTCTTGGAAAACTCTTATGAACATCAGCATTTCATACAAGGAGGAACCGTATGAATCTGCCACTGAGATTTATTCAAATCACTAATTATTTTGTAATAATCACATTAATAATGTAATATGAGAGCTTTTAGAGCTCCACGGTGTCTTTGCTGCTCGCATGCTCAGCTTGAAAGTCTAAACTTCTGCTTTGTGCTTTTAGTCAAATTCTCCTCATGCAAATGTCGGCGGCGTGTTTCCAAAAGGCAGCTAGCAAACATTATTATTAGGAGCAACTGAATTACTTATAATTATGATGGGATATTTTATGCCTTTTTATAGTGACAGTGGATGAAATAAGGACAGAGAATGACAAAGGTCAACAAGGGTCACAAACCTTTGTAATTTATGGTTGGTGTCCCAACCCTAAGGCCACCATGGCTGCCCTGGTTTGACATATTTATTGAGCAAATACTGACTTAATCGATTCAATATACAAAATTGGGCTTATTAGTTGAATTCTACCTTGACGTAAAGTGGAGTCAGCCTCACTTATTTGCACAATGCAAATAATGTTTGATCATTTTCATAGCAAATTGGGGATTATGTTAAAGAACCATGACGGCAAACAGCTCTGAGGATTTTCATTTAAAGCTGCAGTGAACATAACTGCACTCATTTCACACCGTATCAATAGCATTGCTTTGTCTGGGGTTTCGTGTTCAGGTAAGACATGATTTCTTTGAAGAAATATATTCAAAACCTGGATTTTATGTTTTGTGAAAATGAAAAAGTGCTTGCTATTCCGATTTCAGCAGATGTTAAGGGCAATGTATGTTGTGTATAACACCATGATTATTCTGAGGTTTTCAATTCAAAGTCACTGAGGTTTATTTTATAAGTAACACCAAGCAAAGCTCTGGAAAAGGAGACATAAAATTAATTTAATAGGAATCCAGCCATATAATGCACAAATCTACAAATATAGGTTTAATGTTTAATGTTTAATATTAATGCCATTTGTGGCTATGTTTTATTTTGAAAGGTGTCCTTTACAGCGTTCCCAACTTTTCCTCTTTGTTGGGGCTCTCCATACTGTACTATCAGTTAACAGTTTTTACAACCCAAGCTTAAGCTGTATGAAATGATGTGCAGGTGTGTGGTTAGTTTAAGAAAAGGAGAAAGAATTGGACATTGTATTTTAATTCAATTTCTTTAGTACATTGTATAGATCAGTTTCACAATCTTGTCAATACTTTTGAGAATGAATTGTTCCAGATTTATATCTTCATATTTGCTATCTAACTTAAATTGATAACTTACTGTAATAATAATAATAATAATAATAATAATATTAATAATTAAGTAAAAGTAAGTCTGACTGAATCATACTGGTACTCATAGTTTCTGTAAAATTAACGATTTATCTAAATATGCGTAGCTTGACCATATTGGCAAAAGTTTAAACATTTATATTGGTATATACATTTTATATTCATTTTTATAAAAAAAAACTTTTTGAAAAAAAAAAAGGGTGGACCCTTACGGACAAAAGTAATATATATATATATTTAAACATTTATATTGTGTAGGAGATCTAATCAGCTTAGAACCTCCTCAAGTGAGCGTCCTGGTGAGTTTAAGAGGTTTGTATACATACCATAGTTTTATGGTAATTCTCCATTTATCTTCACTTAGTCAAACTGGGAGAAACCTGGTTGTAACATACAGTAGAGACAGTTGGATCAGCTTGATAACAATTAAGTATTGATAGGGTACATGTTCTGTGGCACATCAGTGTATATAGGAGTCAGTCAATCATGCTCTTGTATTTCTCTCACAGCGTAACCATTGAACGGTAAGAGGAAACAGCGCAATCATTGCCATGGAGGGGAAGACTTTGATTTTTGTGGTCTTATCAGGTTGGTTCAATTTAATGTTTGTATTTCTTTGACACACTTTCTAAGAAGAGAAAGTAAGGTACAAATCAGTAGCTCACTGTTAATTAGCTCTACTTATATAACTACTGTTGATAGTTAAACCTACTGCAAGGAGTTTTTAACTGGTTATGTAACAGTCTCAATTTAATCCTCTATATGACCTAAACACACAAGACCATCAGTGAGTCATTTCTATATAGTTATTCTTAATGCCTGACACACAGATTCCCCTTTAAATCAATAAAACAAGGGGGTGGACGCACATACCACTTTTATCCACAGAGGCTGCCAGAATCAATGTAAAATGAAAGTTCTTACTCAAAGGTGGGGTAAGTGGGTAAACGAAAAGTTGATAACCTGCTTTATCGTCTGTTTTACTCTAAATAGGTCCATCATTTACGAAAATGAACACGCTGTATGGAAGAAGACAGAAACTAGATTGAAACCATAAACTCATTAGGAAACTGCTTACCCCTGCATCACATTTCCCATTTAGAACAGCATTTTTCTTTGGCATTTGTTTTGTGGGTTTGTAAGTTTTTGCTTCTGCTTCGTTTCTGTGATTGCTGCATTTTTCCGTTGCTGCATTTTTTTGTTCGATTTGTTTTATGTGTTTGTGTGTTTTGGGATTTGCATCATTCCCTTGTTGGCAGCGTTTTGCCGTTTGCTGCACGTTTGCCACCGTACATTTCCTTTCTGACATTTTGGCGCTATACTGTCTAGTAACAGTGAGTGACGTATCATTCATATCAACAAAACTGACCTTATTAACCCGGCCACATGATGGCAGCTGATTGGGTAAATGTGTCCCATATCTACCCAATCAGCGACTTAATTTTTTAAAATGTTTCTAAGGGCCCCAATAGGAGGCAAGTTTTTTTTTCCCAGTGTAGTAAATTAAAATAATTAAAAATAGTCTGGCCAATCTGGAGCCCCTGCACACGTGGGGCCTCTAGGCTGCAGCCTGCGCCAGCCTGTGCATTAATCCACCAGTGCTCCAAAACCCATATGCGCACAATTTGGATTCACCCCTAAAACTTGCTCCCTCAAAGGCAAAGCTTGCACAGTCATAGCATTCACATCCCTGATTGCAAGACGTCTTATTCTTCTCTCCTGGAAGGAGGAAACACCTCCCAGCTTTCAAAGATGGGTGAAAGATACCATGCACTTTCTGACACTGGAGTAAATCAGATACACCCTTAAAGGCTCCCTGCAAACCTTTAGGGAGACTTACAAATACCATTAATGAGATACCAATAGAGTTTTGTCTTGTTGTTTGGTTTTGTTTTGGTTGCTGATGTTTATCTATTTATTTATTCTGAGGTTTGTTTTGTTTTGTTGTTGTTACTTTCATTATCATTGAATGATTCTGCATTTGCTATTGCAATCTTTCTGGCATCCTGAATTGAACAAACCCAATGGACACTCATTCTCCCACAGATTCGAACTCTAAGGGGACAAATGGGAATGGTTGGGAGGGTCTGGGTGGGGGGTGAACTGGGTATAGTTTCACAATTATAATCACTTGATTGATGCAGCTACTATTTTTTTTGTGTGAATACTCTTACTTTCAACATATGCTGCAAATGAATGTACGAAACTAATGTGAAATCAATAAAAATTGTTGAATGAAAAAAAAGGAAACTGCTTACAGAGCTTATAAATCAGGTGAGAGTAGGGTCATTTCTCCATTAGAGTGCATGCTATCAGTCAGTTAATGCAGTCAATAGTGCTCCCCTGCTGGTCATTACATAGAATGCAGGTTTAAGACACTTCCACGTTGGCTTCACTTCATAGACCTGAAAGCTCTGTCCAGTATACATACTGTCTATTGTGTTAAACAGAGGAACCCACAAGCAGAACACAAACTCAGTTGAGTATGATTACCAAAAACAGGGCTTTATTGAAAAACTAGTTGGTGGCTGGTGAGATGGTGAGGTGAAGCTCCAGCTGGCAGTGGTGAGAGGTTAATGGCTAAGATCCGGGCAGAGTTGAGCTGATGGTGGAGGCAGTGGAGCAGAAGGGGCGTGTCATCAGGCAACCAGGGAGAATGGGAGGAGTCCCAAACACACACCACACAAACAGAGAGACAGACAGGAACAACAGGGAGGGAAAAACACAAGAATCTACTGCAGTATGGTACTGACCATAACACTGTCAATGGTTTTAATCAGAATTAAAGCTGCAGTAGGTAATTTTTTATGAAAATAAGTTTTCGTCATATTTGCTAAAACTTTCACTATATCCTGACAGTAGTACATGAGACAGACAATCTCTGAAAAATATCAAAGTTCTTCTGGCTCATTATAGCGCTCCTAATGGTATTTGCAAGAATCCACTGGGCCTGGAGGAAATCAGAGCTAAGGAAGACAGTTGATTGTTGAATTTCATCCCCAGGGCATCAAATATATGCTTTGGGACTTTTTCTTTTTTGAGACTGAGACAATGTACTCTCTTCAAGTAACCAACCCAAAGTGTCTTCCTATCTCTCTCAGCTCTGATTGGTTGTTTTCCTCCAGGCCCGGTGGATTCTTGCAAATGCCACTAGGAGCAATAGGAGGAGCCAGAGGAACCAGATTTATTTGTCAGGATATAGTGAAAGTTTCAGTGAAAAGGACAAACAATTGTTTTTATAAAAATTACCTACTGCCGCTTTAATGCGATTCCTCAGATCTTTGTCATTTGTGTACTTTGTTTAAGAGGAAACAAAAATGTTAGGACAATTATCAGTTATTGCTTACTTGATCATCCAGGTCCACCTACCAACCTATCACAGAACAAGCTCTGCTGCGACGACACTGTCTGTACTGTCTGCCTGCGTCCACTTCCGTATTGTCTCGTTTGTGTCAAGTCCAGTTTGTCTTGTAATGTTTGTCGTTATGAGTGAACTAGACAAAGCTATCGGGATCACACTCATCACGCAATGGATCATCACCAGTGACTGCTACGTGTTACTACCTGAGTAACGTGGCAACAAAGGACTCACCCACACCAGGGAAGATCTGCTACAACTCCGGTGTTCCATGCACAGCAGCATCAAACAACCCAGTGTTCTACCAGCAGAAATCCGGCTGAGGAAAAGAGGGAAGCTACGAGGGGTATGCACCAGGTTTAGGAAGCCACCCTTCAAACCCCCTCTCCCCTCCATTATCTTGTCCAATGTGAGGTAACTCCGGAATAAAATGAACATATGTCTGGTGGAGAGAACCTTCAAGGAGGCCTGCATCATTGCCCTGACCAAATCCTGGCTCGACGAGGCTGTCCCAGATGTTGAAGTAAATCTCGTCAACTTCACCATCCTCAGGGCAGACCGCACGAGGGAGTCAGGCAAGGAGAGAGGCGGAGGGGTCTACATATACGTCAACAACAGGTGGTATAACATGATCAAGATCCACGACAAGGTCTGTACTGCACGTCTAGAGATGCTGACGCTGTCCCTCCATCCATTTCATCTCCCAAGGGAATTTATATTTCACCTAGTGCTAACACCAAGGTTGCAGCCGAGCTAGTGGCTAACTATGCTAACAACATGCAGGGCATATATCTAGAAGCTCCCATGTTTATTGTTGGTGACTTAAACAGTTGCAGACTTGACAGTGTTCTGCCATCATTTCATCAGTATGTGGACACTCAAGGAGAGAAAACACTCTGGACTTATGTTATGGCAATATTACAGATGGATACATCTCACGTGCACACCCACCACTCAGCATTGCAGTTCACAATGTTATTTTTCTACTTCTGCATTACAGACCAGTACTGAAATGTAACAAGCCCGATACCTACAGTGTCAACCAGTCGTCCTTGGACGCAATTACTAATGATGGCAACCTGTATGAGAGGGTCACTGCTATTACAGACTACATGAAGTTCTGCATCTCAACAACCATACCAGTCGAGATCCTCAAGAGATATCCAAACTCCAAACCCTGGATCAACCATATTTACGGAAAAACGGAAAGCCTTTCAACGACAGGACTGGGTCTCACTCAAAACCACAAGCCGTTGTCAGGCTCCACGTCGTAGGGTGTTACAGTGGAGTAACTGTATCAGAGCAATCAATTAATGGTTATCAAAATCACATTAGCACTGTCTGAAAGACTACAGTTAACTACGGTAACCTGAGTTAATCAAATCAACATCTCAATACCACAATAACCTGAATAAAACAGTAACATTAACAATAATGAAACAGTCCTTGTTTAGCCGTTAACTCTGTTAAGTTATATGTCTATGCCCAGTACGTTACCGACGGTCCAAAGGAAGATGAAGAAGAGTTGTAGGTGCTGCATGGTCAGCTGGCGGTCCTGTGAGCCAGGCTGATCAGAAATGTGGTCCAAACTGTCTCTGCTGTGCGATGTCCGCTGGCACAGGTAGCAAGAGGAAAGGTGTTTCGCTTGTTGCTCTGCAGAGTTAACGATTCAACGTTAACGTCGCGTTGCTCAGTCGGCTGGCAGACTTTCTGTTTAAAGCTACAGCTGTCGACTCCTGTTAGCGGTGCACTGGCCAGGGATCGCAGGAAAAGGCAGGCTCTCGTGCCTTGCTATAATCCTTTGTCATGCGTCCAAAACGTATCACCCAGTGTGGGCCAGCGAGGTGAGTGAGAGAGCAAAGGGAGAAGAAGAGAGAGAGAAGAGCGTCTCTCGGGCCTAAGTAGCCGGGATGACAGCTAGGTCTGGGGTCCGAGGGAATCTGACCAATGAAGGGCCGGTGTTTGGGCGTTCATTGCTTTCATGCCACACCTTGGCTGCATTCTCGGCCCCCCGCTGAGGGGTCTGTGATCTGGCAGGCCCTTTTTCTTTGTCTTTCGTCACTACGAGCAGGCTTTATTGCTTACATGAGGGCCTCACTGTAGTAATGACTATTTATTTGTTTAAAAACACGTGGTCAGATCCCAACATTCCCCTTTTGGTCCAGTTAAACACTTTTAAAGGTCTCCTTGGATCCCAACACAATAAAAATGACATCATCAAAGCCAAACTCAAATACAAAGAGACACAGGAATTCCGCACAATGAAAAACAAGCTTTTCAAAAAGTGAAAACACTCGCCGGATGTGACCCCAGATCCAAATTATCCACAATAACTGACCCTCCTTCTTTTACTGAGGATCTGAACACCTTCTATACATGGTTTGACACCATCAGCTGCTCAGAGGAATGCATGGAACTACTGGAGGCCCTCCTCATCCAGGAGCCTGCACCCCCTGTTCCCTTCATGGTGGAGGATGTGCACCGGCAGCTGAGACGGTGCAAACCGGGAAGGGCTCAGGGGCTAGATGCCATCCAGGCACGGGTGCTAAAGGACTATGCCACAGAGCTCACCCCAATTCTGCATGCCTCCTCCACTACCTCCTACATCACAAGCCCGAGACTGCTCTTCATCGACTTCAGTTCTGCATTCAACACTATCCACCATCACCAGATGATCAGGAAACTCCAACACCTCAACGTCCCCCCACTCCTCATCCACTGGGTATACAGCTTCCTCATTGACAGACCTTAAACCATCAGAGTGGGTGCTCTAACATCCTCCACCATCATCACCAACACCGGAGCCCCACAAGGTTGTGTCCTGAGTCCCCTCCTGTTTAACCTCTACACAAATGACTGTACCAGCCCCTCACACATCACCACACACATCAAATACTCTGACACGGTCATCCTCACACTCTAAATGACAATAAATCTAGACTCCATCGCCAATTTCACACAGTGGTGCACAAATAACTTTCTGCAGCTGAATGTCACAAAAAACAAAAGAACTGTTAATTAAAACCTCCAGCACCCACTGGACAGCCCCCATCTCCACCCACAATCCCACCTGCATCAATAATGAAGCTGTTGAGATGGAGGAGTGCTTCAAATACCTTGGACTCACTCTGGACAATAAACTGAGCTTTGAACAACACACCACAGACATTCACAAATGCTGCCAACAAAGACTCTCTGCCATCTGCAAACTCAAAGCTCTTTCTGTTGCCCCCCACCTTCTGCTTCTACTTTATAAACGTATTGTATAACCCATTCTCCTCTACTGTTCCACCTGTTTCTTAAACATGCCTCCAATAGAAACTCATATGCATCACAAACTGCGCCTCCAAAATTATTGGCCTCCCTAGCCCCAACCTCTCAGACCTCAAGAGCAATGCACATACCATAGCACATGGCTGGCAGCTGTGGCACAGAGGTAGAACAGGTTGTCCACTATTCGGAAGGTTGGCAGTTCGATCCCCGGTTCCTCTTGCTGCATGTCAAAGTGTCGTTGAGCAAGACACTGAACCCCAAATTACTCCCGATTCTGTGCATGCTGTGCATTGTGTGTGAGTTTTTGTGAGCAGTTGGCACCTTGCATGGCAGCCACTGCCATCAGTGTATGAATGTGTGTGAATGGGGTGAGTGTGGCATGTAGTGTACAGCACATTAAGTGGTCGAAAGACGCTATATTAGTACAGTCCATTTACCCCCTCTAATCAAATTTTCACACTGCTTTCATCCGGCTGCAGATACAGATCACTAGCCTGCAAATGAGAAGTTTTGTTCCTTCTGCCATAGTATTACTCAACAAAACTCCCCCTTAGCCGTTACGTGTAATTACCTGTGTTGTGTTTAGATGTTTGTGCTGTGTTTAAATGTCTATCCTGTGGTAATGTTGTGTGTATACGTGTATGTACAGACTGTGGCAACAAATTTCCTGAAAAGGACAATAAAGAATCTATTTATCAGATATGAATAATTAGATACTGATTAGTGTATAAATAGATTTTATTAGCCACTTGGAGGCAGCAGGAACAGGCTGTAAACACAACATTGATATATCATTAAGTCCAATATCTCGTTTTAGATCTGTTTTTGGTCTCGGCACCTGATATGAAAAATACTGCTGTTTAGCTGCTGAATGCTCCAATCAATATCTAGTGTTGTCTGCTGTTTAGTGTGTGAGTAGGAAGCTTACACTGGGTTAATATGAGCTTCTTCATGAAAGACAGCTGCCTGAAGCAGCGGACAAAGAAAGCAGTAAGAGTGAGCCAAAACATTAAAGAGAAAACAAAACAAGCTAAGAGGTGTTATAAATCTCCACAATCGCATCAGCATTTTTTACACTTACTTAAAACCAATAACAAACCAATAAACACCCAACACTGAATGTGCTGAAAAGTGATCATGAATGATCAGCAATTTTCAAATAAATCCTTATCTCGTCTTTTTTCATTACCACAGGACTGTGTTTCCTACCTGCCTGTTTTCCCCGCATCTACATCCTTGTTGAAAAGGCAAAGACCTGGACTGAAGCTCAGAATTACTGCAGGGAGAAGTACACCGACCTGGCCTCAGTTGAAAACGAGGAAGAGTATAAGCAGCTGATGGCTGCGTCACAAAAATACTACAGTGGTCATCTCTGGACAGGGCTGTATGGTGACAGGAACAGCTGGAGGTGGTCACTGGAAAAGAAGGATTCTAACAGTGAAGGAGAGGCAGAGTTCAGGATGTGGAAGCCTGGTGAACCCAGTAACGAAAGGGGATATGAGAACTGTGCAGGAATGGCTGCTGGTGGCTTCTGGGAGGATTGGCTTTGCACAGATACAGCACAGTTTGTCTGCTACCATAGTAAGGAAAACACATTATAATGGCAAATACTACTCCAAACATCAGTCTCATGCTGGCCAGGGCTGTATGAGATGTTTACACAAAAGTTAAGTTATTTATTTATAAAGTTATTTACAGTATTTACAGTTAAAGAGCTAGCCATTTTTTTGAAAGTGCATTAATGGATTTTTGGCCATTTGGGGGCAGCAGAACAAGCTGAAAAAACTGACATATTATTGATATAATATATACTGCCCTTGCAGCGCCTATTCTTGTGCAAAGTTAGACAGCCAGTTAACACTAAAAAGTCCTCCAATAAACACACAAGGCTGGACTTTTCTTGTATTTCACTGAATTGTTGTTTCCAATCTTGGATTTGCTTTTGATTGTAAAACTGAAACATTAGAGAAAAAAGAACAAAATCATACATACTGATGTATGCTCAAATAAGTATTAAAGCTTAAGGCAGCACTATACTGTGTAAAAAATACAGCTCACAGCAACAGCTAAGTGACAAAGTCAGTTACTGAACAGAGTTAGCTACTGTTGTATGCTAGCTAGCAGAGCACATGTTCTACCAAAACAATAGAAAAGTTGCTAACGTAACATTCCTTAATAAAAGGCAAGTGTTTTCTCACAGTTTACACATATTACTTACAGACGAATAGTCTCCAAGGCCGAAGCTTGTCAGAAATACATTCAGCAGCAACACGTATCTAGCACTGTCTGTCTTGCTTGTCTGTGCTTAACTGCAGAATTAGCCCTGACCAGTAGAGGGCAGCACACCATATGAACCAATGCAAATAAATGAAATGTTTTTAATGTTATAACTTATTAAACTCACTTTTTAAAACTTTTTTAACCAATAACTTGTTCATTTTTAACTAGTTTTATAACTTTATTACTAAATTAACTTTAAAGGCAGCACACTCCCCACTTCATATAATATCATTATATCACTACCAGCAGGGACGGCTGGTATATATAGGCCAAAAGGGCTAAGCCTCCCCTATCTTTTACAGTAAAGATGAAAAACTATTATTAAAAACCTTAGAACATATTGTTTTGAATTTTGGTAGAACCTAAAGCAGCAACAGCACCAAAAAGTGAATGGGCTAAATTTATTCAGCCCAAGCACAGTAGCGTAAGCTTCCATTCGATTGTGATTGACAGGTGTCGTGACACACCCCCATTTGGGCTGAATTCATTCACCAATCACAGCACAGTAGCTACGGTACAGTGACCTTCGACCAATCACAGCGCAGTAGCTACAGTACAGTGAGGCTAGTTCGTAGTATGGTGGGCGTTAGCATGAACATGAACAAGGTGGATTATTTACTTTCTAATCAATTTTCAGACTTTCAAAAAAAAATTGGAAGTAAAGAGATTGGGAACTCATCACCCAAACGATGTTCAAATAACACAAAAGGACAAACGACAAAATCTTAATTTTGTGTTAAGTGGTTTCAGCTAATGGACTGGCTAACAGCAAGCGTAGCTAGTAATTCACTTTTCTGTTTCCCATGTTTGCTGTTTGGAGGAGACACGACTTGGACCCAACAAGGAATTGTGGATTTAAAACATTTATCCGACAAAATTAGGAAACATGAATGCAGCACGAGCCACATTGGAAATAGCGTAAAGCTGTCATTGCTGGGTAAAGTGAACATCGCCTGTCAGCTTAATGAGGGTCACTGCATCCTGCTGTACAGAGACACAACGAGCTGGTAAAGAAAAACAGGCATTCACTATCACAGAATGTGGACTATATTACATTTTGTGGGGGACATGCGTTTGCGCTGCGGGGGTCCGACGTATCTCCCACTTAACACGACCAGTTCTTTTTTAGACAGTCAATTAGCCGATCACCTGTCAGACACACAGGTTGCAAAGTACACGTCTACCACAGATTCTCTCAAAACGAGACAGGGCCTGGAGAATTTTCCGTCCTTCATATCTGAACTGCTGACCACAGATGACAATCAGCCACATCCAGTTGTGGACACAGCTGCAGCCGCTGCAGCCGCTGCAGCCGCTGTAACGCCGCGCAGGATGTGGCGCTCTGATAATGTGTCAGTAGCTGCACAGTGCGCTTCGAGAAAGCCAGGCACTTGCTGTCTTTGCATGTGCACATTATCCAATGATCTGCAGGGGAGCAGATGGTGAGGTACAGCCATGTGAAGTTTGACATGGTGATTAACCTGTTTGCGTCACTGAAAGGCCGTCGATGTGAGCGGCGTTTTAAATAAGGTATGCCCAAGCTCTGAAACAACTCTCTCTTCTACAAATAATTATTTTTGCTTTGGCTTTATAGATTTATTTCTGGTACATGGTGTTGTTGATACTTCTCTATAATGAAGTGGTAGCGCAATTGGCATGTGCTGATGTGTACAGAGGAGAGAGAGAGAGAGAGAGAGAGAGAGAGAGAGAGAGATTTTTTTTTGGCATCAGGTCATTCTTCCCACAAAGTTAGTCCCTCTGTCAGATCGCAGAAGTTTTGCTGGACCACGAATCGAGAAAACCTCAGCAGAGCATTGCTAAAACTGTCATTGACATGGTTTCAATAAGTTCAATACCCACCGCTCTCATCACACACACACTTGTGCCACGTGTCATGATAGATCATGGCCTAAAGACATCAAGAACAACAGGGGTGAATAGAGGTTCAGGAGTGAGTCTGTCGGATGGCAGATCTGCCATCATCTGGTCCTCCAACTTCCCTCCCAGTTTGCAGCAGGTAACACACTTGTGAATGACAGAAGACACCAGACACTTACTCCTAATTATCCATTATCCAGCTGCTCGAATGGCTCCTTCCCTAATGTGTCGTTCTTGGTGAGCTACTTATTCATGAAAGTGTCTCACAAGTAGTATAGAAATGTGACTTTCGACAGGTTAGCAGAAGAAAGGCGACCTCCGACACGAAGCAGACCATCTTTATCAAGAACCACATTGAGACATTTCAATTCTACTTTGAATGGTTTGTACTGGACAGAAGAAATGATCACAGCTTTGGCTTGTGAAACTTATTCTGTATGCTTCTTTGAAACTTTCCCATCCTTTTCTTTCTGCATTGTCTGACTTTCCTTTGAAGGATGCTGCAACATGAATATGTCTGGCTATAGTCTGATAGAGTGTTCTCCAGCTTGAACATTGCTGTGTTGTGAGCCCAACTGCGACTCTGATATCTTTATTGCCAGAGTAGTAACATCAGGACGAATCTTATCATAATCAGGCTCAATGAGGGTGAAGAGATTAGAGTCAGCCACCCTGTCACATTACAGGAAAGCTGGACCTGAGAACCAGTTTCAGTGTTTGAGTTGGGCAGCTGGCATAGACCTGGTTGCATGGTCTGCAGGGTCGAGCTCTGTTGGTACAGTGTGTGTAGATCTGGAATGTTAAAAACATACATGTAATACTGTCTTGTGGAGTATAACAGAGAACGATCTTACTGTCTGTGAAGAACTCCACAGCGTCCACCTCAAAGTCAATCTCATCTCTGATTAGCTCGTATAGTTCAACAGCCAGCACAGCTGCACAGAGCTCAAGGCGTGGAATGGTGTGGGCAGGTCGAGGGGCCAATTTTGACTTCCCCATAACAAATCCAACATGGCATTGTCATTGTCAGTGTCAGCAGCTCTTGAGTAGCCCGAAGCTCCTATTGCTACTGTAGAAGCATCTGAAAATATGCACAATTCTCTTTTCTGTGTTGAAGACAGCAAGACTAGAATATAGCACCTTTGTATTTGCAGATCTTCAAGAGCCTTTAAAGATTCTTTCCATAGGTTCCACTGTGCTTCTTTTTCTGGGAGTAGAGGAGCCTTTTTTCAGGTGACAGTTCTCATAACTCCTTATAACATTAATGACTGAGACCCAACAGTTCCCACCATGAGCAAGCACTTGTCGATGGTTCAGATCCTTGGCGCGGTCCTCTGTCGGGAAGGCTTCCATTACCTGGTTGCTGTTTGATGCCACTTTGTACAGTCGTAGGTTGGATTCTGCTAACATCTTTCTGGTGTGTGTGAGGAGATCTTTTGCCTCTTCAGGTGTGGGGACTGAAGTGAGACCTTAATCAACATAAAACTGTCTCTCAACTGCCTTGCATCAGAACCGTGTTCTTGTTCACCTTTTTTAGCTGCTTGTCTCATGCAGTCGATAGCTACAGCAGGTAAAGGGTTGTTTCCAAATACATGGATCTTCATCCGGTACTCAACCACGTTTTTGCTAGTGTCATTGTCCTCATTCCAGAGGTACCGGAGATAATCTCTGTGGACTTCTCGGACGGCAAAGCAAAAAAACATCTGCTGTAAGGGCTACAGGTTCTTTCTGGAACCTCAAAAGAACTTCCTGTACCTGTATCTGGTCTGGCTTTATGTTGGCAGGAACCAGTGTTCTTTACCTTTATCTAAAGGTGGAGCAAGCTCAGCTGGATCTTTGTCCAGCATCTTCTGCATGTACTTGATGTAGTGATCTTTCATTTCTGTTTTTTTCCAGAGTTCTCCCTGGTGAGTAGAGCTGTTTCAACGCTTGCTCTCTTTTGCTTGGAAGGCTTTGTCTTGGAGAGCGGAAGGGTAAAGCGCCTGGTATACTCGCCGCAGAAGAGACACTTTCCAAAGTGTCTCTTGTCTAAGAAAGGATGTCGACCATTGTGCAGTACATTTGTTTTTTAGACATTAAACTCTGAAGGTTTGTGGGCTGTTCCCATCCACACATCTCCCACAATGACCCAGCCTAGGTCCAGCCATTGTGCGTCAGGTGCCTTGTGTGGCCCGTTGACTTGCTCGCATACTTTGTACCCTAAGGATGTCTCTACCTAAGAGCAGGAGGATCGGAGGATCTCGGGTCTACAGATTGAATCTTGTTAGTAACTGACTGTAGATGGGGGTGATGGTATGTCCTCTCTGGGAAGGGAATTTCTGTCCTATCATCTGGTACCATGTCCCACTCTATTAAAGTGGGTAAGGGAAGCTGTAGTTTTTCATCCATGGACTGGTGTTGAAATTAGTAATTCTCCTTCCTGA